GGTTGCTAGGCTTGAATCTATTCGTATGTTATTAGCTTTTGCGAGTGCCCTTAATTTTAAACTTTTTCAAATGGATGTTAAAAGTGCTTTTCTCAATGGATGGTTAAAAGAAGAAGTTTATGTTGAACAACCTCCCGGTTTTGAAAATCCTGATTTTCCAAATCATGTTTTTAAACTTCATAAGGCTCTTTATGGACTCAAACAAGCTCCTAGAGCTTGGTATGAGCGGCTTACCGAACATCTTATCTCACATGGATTTGCAAAAGGAAAGATCGATTCCACACTTTTTGTCAAAACAAAAGGAGAAGATCTCATAATTGAGCAAATTTATGTTGATGATATTATTTTTGGATCAACAAATGAAGCCTTATGTAATGAATTTTCAGGAATTATGACAAGCGAATTTGAAATGAGTATGATGGGTGAGTTGAAATTCTTCCTTGGACTTCAAATCAAGCAACTTGGAGATGGTATCTTCATTAGCCAAACCAAGTATGCCAAAGAATTAGTCAAGAAGTTCAACCTTGAAGACTCAAAAACATATCCGACTCCAATGAGCACATCTTTGAAGCTTGACAACGACGAAAGCGGAAAACCCGTAAATGAAAAGGTATATCGAGGTATGATTGGTAGTTTGCTCTATTTAACTGCATCTAGACCCGATATAATGTTTTCCGTTTGCCTTTGTGCTCGTTTTCAATCATCACCTAAAGAATCACATCTAAATGCCGTCAAGCGAATAATTCGTTATGTCAAGGGAACGACTAATATGGGTTTATGGTATCCTAAGAATACGAATTTAAGCTTGATAGGTTTTAGTGATGCCGATTTTAGAGGGTGTCGTATTGATTGGAAAAGCACAAGTGGCACATGTCAATTCATAGGTCATGCACTAGTGTCTTGGTCATCTAAGAAACAACACTCCGTTGCCCTATACACTGCTGAAGCGGAATATGTGGCTATGGGTAGTTGTGTTGCTCAAATTTTATGGATGATCCAAACACTAGGTGACTTTAACTTAAAATTTTCAAAAGTGCCTATTTTTTGTGACAATTCAAGTGCAATAAATATTTACAAAAATCCCGTTTTGCATTCTAGAACTAAACATATAGAAATAAGACATCATTTCATACGTGATCATGTTTCAAAGGGAGATATTCAAATTGAATATGTAAATACACTTGAACAATGTGCCGACATTTTTACAAAACCATTGGATGAAAAACAATGTTTACATATTTGTCGGGAAATGGGAATGCTTGAATTAAAGTAAAATTTAAGGTTCTTATTATCCCATTACATCATAAAAATATATTGATCAAGTCCAAATGCTCAAAACACGCGTCTAGAGGTCGAAACAAACCCTTAAGGCTGAGGCACGGTACCCCTGACAGGACCCAGTACCGCCCACACGGTAGAGCCTACCGTTACTACAGTACCAGGATGCCGTTTGGACGCAGATACCGCTAGAGGGAATTGGGTTTTGGACGTTACACGGTAGCTAGACACGGTAAGGCATACCGTATACACGGTACCAAGGTACCGTTCACACGGTACCGAGGTACCGACCGTCTCTGCGGGTCAACCTACATTAAAAACCCTAAATCGAACCAATTTTCTCAGTTTCGCTCTGCAACTTTCGGCTATTCCTCTCGGCATCTCTCTCCCGTGTCTCGAACCAAGGTAAATTCCTCATCCAAATTCCTCAATTTCTTCAAACATTAGATTCAATTTCCTCACATACTCTCTTCAATTCGGGTATTTTGTATCAATTTCTCACTTTTTCTCCCAAAATTCTTCCATTCTCAATTTTCTCTCAAAATGAGCGAAATTGTCTCCGACGTTCATGTCGATGCTCAAGAAGGGTTCAAGGCTTACGCCGACCCACATATCATCGAGGGGAGAACTCTTAAACAAGATGACATACCCGTTTCCATTCTTGAACTCATTCATGAACAAGGATGGAGTTTCTTTCTTCAACTCCACGCCCCCGTTTACCCGGAACTTGTTCATCAATTTTATTCCTCATTAAGATACCATAAGCAAGACCCTTCCATTACCGCTGTTGTTGCCGGCAAAACCTTCGGATTCAACACCCAAAACCTTTCCGAGTGGTTCCACCTAGAGCGTCAAGGAGTCTCCTCTTATTGTAAAAAGGGGTGGATTTCCGACTCACAAGACTTCAACGCGGATTTTTGCCTACGTGTTCTCAACAATATTGCTCTTGACCATGTCTTTGAGGACCCGGACTATTTCCTTCGTCGGCCCAACGTCCAAGACTTGACCGCAAATCGTTTCATTCTTCT